ATGTTCTTAACATCTATAAACTATGAATAAACATGTAAAACTGCAAAAGGGAAAACTGTCAAATGAAAATGTTGCAGAGTTTCACGTTCAAATTCCCATACTGCTTTCAAAATAAAACGCTGATGAAACGACATTCATGTAAAAATGATTTTCAAGAAGATTTCACCTGGTGCCGAGGTTTGAAAAAGTGAGAGGCGGGTCTCCCCAGGGAGGAAGTGATAAACTGTCACAAATGTTATCAAAGGGAGATCGTGTCAAAAGGTCTAAATGTGAGATTCAGCAACGGAGGGAGTAGATATGGAGGAAATTGGAAATGTATTTCCCAGTCATATATAAATATATATATATATAAATATCTGAAACCTCCCATGAGTCAGTTAGAGCTGAAGAACGACTTTGGATGCGAAGTGAAACGTCTTCAAGAAACACAAGAAAGTCCAGTTTGTCTTTATAAACTTCTGAAGATACCACGACGACCGAGGTGAGAAACTTCGTCCAGCTTTAACTCCTGAGACTTACGAAAATGTCATTATTGATTAATCCCATGGAAGTTAATTACGGTATGAGCATAATCTCTCATAATCTTTTTTTTTATTTTTTATTAATCCATTAATCAAGTTGAGCATAAAATGTCAGAAAGTAGATAAAAGTGATTTCCACAATTTCCTGCACCCCAAGGTGACATTTAAAAAATGGTGTGGTGTCTCTGACCATGAGCTCAGAATGTAAAGTCCTTCAGCGATTTCTAAAACACCAAAGCAGCCGGATCTCAGGATTCTAAAGCTGGAAACCGAGCGTTTTGATGCATTTGACATTTATAAAAAGATTCAACACACTTCACTTCAGTGTTGGTTACGAGCATCAAAGTTTCCGATAAATCCATTTAATCTGTTGGTAAAGTTTTTACAACGAAAACCAAACCTTGCTCTTCCCAAATGGAAACTTCCACAGACGGAGAAAAAACATTCATGTGAAAAGTAGAAAGTGTCTTCACAAAGGACATTCTGTGTAAACTTCAGAGAGGACAGTTAATGGTGCAGGAACAAACTCACCTCCTCGACTCTATGGTACTCTATTAAAAAGAACATAAAAAGAATAAAAGTTGTTTTGATATTTCCCTCTTGGTCCTGAGGTCAACACAGCATCACAATGTCTGTGTCCCAGGAGCCGTTTGAGATTCAGTGTTGTGTAATAATATTTCTTTCATTTTAATCTTTAAATTAGTTTCATCCTATGTTACAATTCCTGAAAACAATATGTGTTGTGCCGTCTTCTACTGCAGAGTACTAGTCCAATGTGGGACATTTCCGAATGTTGCTCAGCCAAATAAAAGTATTTCTGTATGAAGGGTACTGTGTGGAGTTTACTAAAGTTGTCAGGCTGTGTTTAAAGTTGTATTAGGGTGAGGGTTAGTGTCAGGCTGTGTTTAAAGTTGTTTTAGGGTTAGGGTTAG